AAGTGCAGGAACACCAGAGACCAACAGGACAGAAAGATAAAAACCAAGAAAACAAAGTTCTTGGACTAGGTAGATTTATCCCACTACACATTTTTACCTTTGCAAAGCAATAATTCATGAGCATGTGATATTTATAAATTTGACACAAGTCAGGCCACTTGCAAAGTTCAGTTCCACACCCAGGGCCGTAACAAGGGATTTTGGGGGACAAGGCAAAATAGACCCTTGCCAGGTACTTTAAGTTGAGGTGCCATTTATTTTTATATTTGCAATAAAATCCAAAAGTGAAGAATTCATGTTTTTTATTACTTGATTGTTAAAACTCTCTCACAGAAGTGACCTGTTTGTTAACGAGTTGTTACACGGTAAAAAAAATATATAAAAAAATTAAAGAGCAAGTCACCCCCAAATCAACTTATTTTTTCTGATAAGCTATATGAAATAGTGTTTAATCGTGCTGTAGAATCTTCTTAAAAGATCTAGTCACCCTCTACGAGAGTCCTACTCCACTCCCACTTCCTGTTTGAAAAATGCAATAAATGCTGTTGCCTGGCAGACTGAGAGGGCGGAGCAACTAACAAATACACAGACAGTTTCACGACATTGTGACATAATTTACCATCTAACGTCATAGTGTACGTCTCCTCCAATAGCGATTGCAGATTTGAATTCAAATACAGTGCAGTTTTTACCTGAAGACGGTACAACATTGATGTTTTTAGGCAGAATATTAAAATTTTGACTAATATGCACAATGCATGTCTCCAGCACGATTAGACTCTCATTTATATAGTTTATTAGCCAAAAGAAAGTTGATTTAGGGGTAGCTTGCTCTTTAAATCAAATATAAGGAACATTCTGGATCTGTTTCTTTGCTTTCTTTCTTCATTTTTTATGTATCAAAACTCTGTCTTATATTTAATAACATACTTTGCTGCCACGACATACAAATGACACACAACCATGACTGCAGGTCATCAGAAGGACCCTAATAAAGGGAAAAGGCAGCATCTGTTGATTTGTAGACAGTAGTTTGGTTTCCATGGTAACATCTAATGTAGCCTGCTGGTTAAGATGTGAAAAAATAAAATAAATAAACACCAGCTCATAGTTGAGCCATTCATAGCATTATTTCCTAATTTGCCAAAAAGGAAGAACTTGTTAGCCACATACATAATTTTTGTTTCTTTCCGAGAGTTCTGGGTCACCTGCAGATGGTGCAATCGCTCGAAATCTGTGCACCAGCTTGTCTCACCCGGAATAGGAACACACTTATGTGGAGATGGCTTGTTTCTAGCTTTTAAGGTGGTTTCCAACTGTACCACAAGTCACCCCGTCTCTCTAACTAGATGAGGTTTAGGTTGGTTCACATCAGCATTAGGACCTTCCCGAAGCTGATGTGGGTGTCCCACTGGGATGTGAGCTTGGTCCCTTTGTGTTGTTTTACAGGTCTGTTTCCCAATGGCCATGACCACCCCTAGAAAATTTCCAGTGCATAAATCATGTTAGTGTTCACTCAAACTATAAATTAATGTTATTTATTCATCACATAAATGTAGAAAACAATAACACTTATACAATTAATGAGTAAAGAAATGACAAGAATAAAAAAATACATTTTTCTGCTTTTCACCATTTAAAAAAAGTGTTTATTTCCATAGTTTTTTTTGAGAACACAGCAACAGGTAAATTAAACAAAAAAAAGTTTTTTTTTATTAAATAACATTTTAAATAACTGAAATGTATTTTTCTGAAATAGTTGCATATATATATATATATATATATATATATATATATATATATAGGTCAGATCATCCATCGGTGAGCCTGTGACAATGAATGACCAAAGACCACTTACGCAAACCCATATTTTTTTTTATTTTGCGATCATTTCAAACTGAAAGATTTTATCAACAGCATAAGACATTTGTGAATCCGTCCAGGGTGTCTGCATCGCTCAAGGTGTTTCTTCAAAAACATGTACCTGACCAGGATGCACATTTTCATATTTTTCAATCATTTTCTGGAGCCGGTATGTGCTTAAATCACCCTGAACAGTCACTCGGACCCCTGTGGCCAGAATACCGCACTTGCAGCTTCAGAGTATCCTTTGTTTGTCTCAGCGAACCCTTATAATCAGTAACTGTATAGCAACTGCAGAGAAAATATCCTAGTGTTGCCCTTCTCTGCAGCCCGTCTTGTTTTTGGAGATAAAACTCTAACATTGCAGAGCAGAGTCGTGTTGCTGGTAACTAATCTGAGGAAAGATGTCCACATATCCTTAAATTAGACTCCACATCCTGTTATCTGAATCTTAACTCTGATCTGGCTCACTTCTACTTCCTGAAACAGGCACACCTGGGCTAAATCTACCCAGCGCTGTTAGTGATTTAGGAAACAACCTTTTATAGATAATTATTTTTTAAAATGAAAATATTTAGTTCAGTAAAAAGTGTCAGAAGAAGAAAGTTGAATTTCTGAATAAACCATGAAATCAGTTTGTCTGCATTTAGCTTTATTTTGTAAAATAAAGGTTTTAATAACGAGTAGATTTGATGTTGATGAAACAAGCTTGAGTTTATAAAAGTTAGCATGAACCATTTATAGATTACTAATTACATCAAATCTTCAGCCGAACACTGAGGCCATGTTGTTGTAAAGGCTAATTACATGTCATACCTTCACACTAATGCTCTTTAATATATTAAAATTCAATTAGAAAATAAGTTATTGTGGAAAAAAATATAAATGTTTCCATCACCGATAAATAATTATCTGATGTGCATGGTTGGTCAAGTTTAAAACAATGTAAAAACACTGAATTAATTTTTAATGAAATGTAAGCGACAAAGTAAACAGATTAGAACGAGTGTTTTATCAGAGAGTTCAGGTGTTGGAGCTTAAAACGATTTTATACGAGTCTGTCAAGGTTATTACCTCACTGGTCCGCAGACATGCTGGAGAGTCGGTTTTACACATGTTTGTTTTCTGTGCTGCTGTGTGATAATTAGATACGTTGGGATGAACGTTTGTAAAAAAATAATAATAAAAGCAACAAAATAAAGTTTTAGCATATTTAACCCTGTTTCAGCTCCCGTGTGTGTGTGTGTGTGTGTGTGTGTGTGTGTGTGTGTGTGTGTGTGTGTGTGTGTATGTGTGTGTGTGTGTGTGTGTGTGTGTGTGTGTGTGTGTGTGTGTGTGTGTGTGTGTGTGTAAATCTACAGTATTAGTTCTGTCTGCATGAAAAATCTGTTAAAGAGCAAGTCACCCCCTACCAGATTCTTACTCAACTCCCACTTCCTGTTTGAAAAATGCTGTTTCCTAGCAGACCGAGAGGGTGGAGCCGCTAACAAATACACACACACACACACACACACACACACACACACACACACACACACACACACACACACACACACACACACACACAGGCTCACGACAACATTGTGACATCATATGGTACCAGCTAATGTTCTAGGGTACCTCTTAGCCAATAGCGATGGCAGATTGAAATTCAAATGCTATGCAGTTTTTACCTGACAACGGCGCAACACTGACCGTTTTAGGCAGAAATTAAAATTTGAGCTAAAATGCACTAAAGTGCAAAACTATTGACTACACGTGTCTGCAGCACGATTAGACACACATTTATATAGTTTATCAGAAATGATTTGGGTGACTTGCTCTAAATTTGGGATCCGAATTTTGGTTTTTGTTAAGCTTGAGCGGTCTCCAAATTTTAATACCGTCTAGCTTCCTCCACATGTTACCAAGGTGTACGGTGTAGCATCGATGATTACACTACATATTTATTAAAATGACCAATAAGACGTGATAATTCCATATAAATATGAAATATCAAACTGATTAGTCTTTCCATGTTCAATCAGAAGATTATAGTTATTTTACTTATTCAGGGACCATAAACATACTTTGTATTGATTCAGAGTCAAGTACATAGTTTATAAAAATGAGTTTGTTTCTTTTGCCTAAACTAATGATTATACATGACAAGCTGTGAATGTGGTAATGGAAGCTTAAGTATATGTGTGGATTCTGGGTTGGAAAATAAATTTGGCAGTTTGTTTGGTAAACTACAGATTTCTTAAAAACAAACATCTGATGCCGGTGTGCATTACCAGGACTGATTTAAAAATGATGACGTAAGCCTTAAGTGGAATTACCAAGGTGTTGAATTGGACCTTCACCGTTCAGAAACGGAATAACAAACAACACACATGATATTAACAACTTTTTAAAAGAGCAGCTTAAAAAAAGAAATTTGGCCTGAAAAACCAGCATGTTTACCTTTATCGGCTTCGATGAGTTTGTGGCAGACCCCCGGTTACTTTGGGGTTTACTCTGACATCCGGGGAAGGCTGGCAGCTTATTTCCACCAGAAAGGCGCGTTGTCATCTTGTTTATTAGCAGGCTCCAAACAGAAGGCTGCTATTTCAGCTACCTGCCGTTCCGACGGGGCCTGCATCTTTCGCGGTCATCGTTTGTTTACAGAAATAACCTCATCAGTGTTTACCGGCTCTTCTTGTAAGTTTGCTTCGAACCAGAAATACTCCCAAACTGCAGGTGTGTTGTTTTTAGACACCAAGTCAGCTGGTGCCATGCTGTCATTTTTCTCTTGTCGTGTCACGTGATGACATCACGTTAATAAACTTTACGGAAGGTCTCTGAAAGTTGGACAAAACATTTTAAACTATATAAGTAAAATGGAAAATTCAACCATGCCTCTGGTTTATACATTAAATTACTTAATTTAATCTTTTTTATTTATTTATTTATTTCCATGTCTACTACTTGCACAGTTCTTTTCATGACGGTGAGGGTTGGGGTTCGGGAAGTGACGCTGTTGCTATTTTTTAACACGAGCTGTATACAGTAATACCATTATATTGCCCAAGCCTATTTTTTATTTATTTCTAACGCTCTCAGTAGATTTCATAATTTAACTAATGTTATTTTCGTTTGTTTCACGTTTGTTTCAGCTTTACAGCTCGGTGGAGTTTGGTAGAAGGTGGCAGCTGGTGCATGAAAGAGTGGCTCCTAATCGATTCTACTGGTAAGAACAATTTTTTTCTTCACAGGTACATTTTATTCCGTAACAACAAAAGCTTTAATCAAATCTGAAGGTGACCTTGTAAGGTGTTTCATTCATTTTTTTGTTATTTTTTGGGACGGTTTATTAGAGATTACAAAGAGGACTTTCATGTTAAAATAAGATTAGAAAAATTTGAGAAAAAAAAAAAATATATATATATATATATATATATAAACACACAACAAAATTATAAACGCAACACCTTTGTTTCTGCTCCAATTTTTTATGACATGGACTTAAAGATCTAAAATTCATTCCAGATTGACAATATTACAATTTCTCTCAAACATTGTTCACAATCAGTCTAAATGTGTGATAGTGAGCACTTCTGCTTTGCTGAGATAATCCATCCCACCTCACAGGTGTGCCACATCAAGATGCTGATCTGACATCATGAGTAGTGCACAGGTGTACCTTATACTGCCCACAATAAAAGGCCACCCTGGAATGTGCTGTTTTTTGCTTCATTGGGGGTCTGGGGACTCAGAACCTGTCAGTATCTGGTGTGACCACCATTTGCCTCATGCAGTGCAACACATCTTCTTCGCATAGAGTTTATCAGATTGTCAGTGATGGCCTGTGGAATGTTGGTCCACTCCTCTTCAATGGCTGTGCGAAGTTGTTGGATTTTAGTGGGAACTGGTACACGCTGTCGTACACACCGGTCAAGCACATCCCAAACATGCTACACGGGTGACATGTCCGGTGAGTATGCTGGCCATGCAAGAACTGGGACATTTTCAGCTTCCAAGAATTGTGTACAGATCCTTGCAACATGGAGCCGTGCATTATCTTGCTGAAACATGAGGTGATGCTCATGGATGTACGGCACAACAATGGGCCTCAGGATCTCATCACGGTATCTCTGTGCATTCAAAATGCCATCAATAAAATGCACCTGTGGTCTTCGTCCATAACAGATGCCTGTCCATACCATACACCCCCCCCCCCCCCACCCCACCCCACCCCCACCCTGGATCCTTTTTCTGGTTTAGGGTTAGGGCTAAATTAGACCAATGTCAGTGCCATGTGGCTATTTTCTCTTCTTTGCATTGTACCGCAGGTTCTGTCACACATAGTGGTGTCCAGCATGTCTTCATTCAGTTACTAAGGCATGACAAAAGCCTTCAGCTCAACAAACCACAGAAGAACTGTTGGGTAGTAACAAGCTGGGCTGCTGGGAGTGAAGGGAGCCTGAGGGCTGAAGCTGCAGACGCTGTCAGAGTTCTATTTTAGTTCGTGCTCTGTGCAGGAGCTGCTGTGCTAGCCCAGCTAATGAATCTGCACAGGGGGCTTATGTCTCCTGTACATGTGTAAGCTCATTTGTGATTCGATGAACCTGAGAGGAACTCTGTGACACGATGCAGCAGAAAGCCCTCTGCTCAAACCACCACAGGACTCGACTGTTATCAGGCGGACGGCTTAGCATGTACATGCATATGACATAAAAATCTCTGCAGAAACATCTGGAGCTGCAGGTTTTTATTATTTTGCAGGACGAGGGCTCCAGCTCAAAAATAAGCCTTTTTATAAAATCAAGTTTTGACCTTCGCTGTCTTCTGAGGCACATAGTTGCACCAAAGGCTAAAATAGCATCACAGAGGGGTTGCTGTTGGCTCTCCACAAAGGTTCGAGCATACAGATTTAAACAAATCTTGTTATTCTGCTAACTCCGCTCTGCTGTCTGGTACCAGAATAGATTATTCAGTGAAAATGGAAATAGAAATTTGAGAAGTAGGCCATTCTGTACAAAGTTTAGTTTCATCTCCTAATGTTATAAAAGAGTGCAGTGATTAGGAGCTTTGCTGGTCTTTGATTGTCTCCGTCTACCCCCCCCCCCCCCCCCCCCCCCATGCATCTACTACGCTTCAAGACATTCTCTCCACTTTCATACCATCTTTTTTTTTCCACCTTCTCCTTTTAGCTCCGTGTCTTGGCAGCTTCTGATTCTCCTCTGATCCTCAAGCCTTTTTAATTCATTTTTAATGCAGTAATGATTATATGCTGTTCCATCTGCTGGCGTCTCTACTGTAGTACCAAATCAATGGATTTTCCTCTTCTAAGGATGTGAGGAAACATCGGGGGTGCCTTTGGGCTCTTCTGAACAATTAGATCACATGCATTACCAGAGGCTCTACATGTTAAACTGTCCTCCACGGGAAGTTCCAGCGGTTCCTGCTGGTCTTTACTGCTGCCGTCATGATCCAACCTCTGTTGTTGAACATTCGTCCGGCCCTATAGAGTGCTATCGCTCGGGTCAGACAGCACTTACAGCTGGTGGCATCCGCCCACAGCCAAAAGACCAATAGTGATGTTCCTGAAACACATTTGTCTGCCTTTCAGGTCCAAAATGGGTTTGGACAAAGAGCCGGGCTTAATTCACCTGGAAACCAGCATCTCTGAAGGACGTGAGTAAGACTGTCTTTGTTCTGCAGCAGAAGCATTCTGCTGAGGGAGAGAGGAATCGTGGGGGGGGGGGGCAGATTCTGCTGTGGGAAAATGTGAAGGGACGATGGAGATGGCCAAGTCTGGGGACACACAATGACAATGTAGTAATGTATGAATTGGAAGGCTTTTAAAGCCAGCGGTCCATTATTTAACTCTGCTTTGTGCCGACGTAACTGTTGAACATAGAGGAGCTGATCAGAAACAGGTGGATTCACAGATCTGGGTCAGGGGAGACGTCCAGCCTCAGTAGAAGACTTTAGTCCTACGGTCTGGTCCCTGAGTAGCTGAAGGATGAGACCAGCAGGTTCGGGCAGCGTCTGCAGTGACGTGGACCCTAACTTGGTCTGTCGGGGTGAAGACGCAGATGATTCAATCAATACTAATTCCATTCATCCCTCTTGGGTGATGGGCTGATGAATAAATCAAATGAGTGGATACACGCAGCCTAAAGAGTTTCCTCTGAAGATGGCTGCCTCAGCCTCGAGGATGGGTGAGGAGTTTGGACATCCAGAGGAGACAGCTGAGGTGGTCTCACTGGTTTTCCATCCCAAGGGATATCTTTGAAGGCAAACCCAGCACATGCTGGGGGGGTGGGGGGGGGGGGGGGTTTACCCCCAGGCTGGTCTGGAAATGCTTTTAAGGTTCCTCTGTAAGAGGCGGTGAAGGTGGCTTCCTGCCAGTGGATGAGTAGGCCTGGGATGATAACTGCCCAACAAATTATTGTCGATAAACAATATTGTTGTCGACATTTTCAAGACCAAAATAACCACTTATATAATGTTAATATATCACAATAATGCAAGTACACCCTTTAAGATTCAACAATGAAATGTTTATTTACCTTAAGTGATTTATTTTCAGCAGTAATGAAACCTCTGAGCTCCGTTTGTTTCCTATAACCCTCCCACTGTCCTAAAGGGTGACCTCGCGAGGAAAGTTGACCAGTAAGCAGGATCGATGGTTTACCCCTTGAGGTCCATGTGGCAGGGGTGAGGTGATGCTCACTCTTCATCCCTGCCACATGGACCTCAAGGGGTAAACCATCAATCCTGCTTAATGGTCAACTTTCCTCGCGAGGTCACCCTTTAGGACAGTGGGAGGGTTGAGGTCGTTGAGATCTACGATATTGATTGTAGACCATTTTTGAAAGTACCGATGTCTAGCCACCTTCATAGGTGGATTCCTGTAAGAGAAGTGTTCGTCCTTGTTCTTTTTATCCATCCTTTTGACTCTTGTTCTGCTTCAACTTCAGCTGCTGCTTCCCCTAGTCAAACACCTAAAATGCCACTAAGGGGGTGCGGTTGGCATGCAGGTCACTAGTCTGCCAACGACCGATATATCGAGGCTGGAAAAAATATTGAGTTCATTTACATCTATCGCATGATTCATTGATTTTCTCATTATTGTAGAAAAATCCATTAGAAGATACGATTCCAGTGAATTTGGTGACCTTTTTTATTCTTATTATTGACTTTGTTTACAATATTGTTTCTTTTCTATAGTCTAAATACTGTAAATATCTAAATGTCTTAGTTTTAGTTCCTCTGATTGCAAATCTTCTCCACATTTTGGTACAATTGAATCATATGTATATGCATCCAATAGAAACTTCCAGATTACTTTTGAAATAAGTACACTTGTTGAAAATGCATTTGTTGGTGTTCCAGAGAAACGTAGCAAAGGGTTTTAGGTAGAATAAAAATGTCTAGGGCTTGATGTGAAATACTTCAAGACAAGCTGTGTTTAGAGGAATGAGGTGAGTCTGCAATCACAGAATCAACTGCAGCAGGTTTGGGGTGCAGTTGATTACTTGATTGAGTCTCCATCTCCATCAAAAACCTCCACAGTTCACCAAAAACCAACCAGTTTCCAGATGGGTCCAATGTGCTCGTTTGGTGCTTCTCTCTGAGGTACGAAGAACATCTGTTCAAATTAGCTTAAAGTTCTTTCCTGCTAAACTCGTCCATCATGATGACTCCATACCAACAGAACATGTGTGGATCTGCTTCATCTTATTTGGGTTCATTAAAGAAAGGTTGATGAAACAAGGCGGCTGTGCAATCGTGTCAGAAGTTACAGTCACACACCCAACTCCATCACTATTGATCACGCTGGTATGGAAGGAGCCGACACGTATTTGGCAGAAGCTGACATATGGGGACAGGCTGTCCAGCCAGCGCCGTGATTGAAGGCAAAGAAAGCAATTGGCCTCTCTGGTCATCCGTCTTCCCCTTACCCAGCTCCTCCTTAACTGGGACCACTTTACTGACACGAGTAATGCAGGAGGCCAAAAGAGAGCACTTAGCTCGGGGTGAAGGCTGCCTTTCTTCATCGGCTTATATCATGGCTGAATCCCTGGCCTGACGTGTGTGTGTGTGTGTGTGTGTGTGTGTGTGTGTGTGTGTGTGTGTGTGTGTGTGTGTGTGTGTGAGCAGAAGCGCTTTATGTCACCTGCAAGCTGCAAAACTGCACAGATGCCAACAAGGGCAAACCATTCCCCGGATACATTGACCCCAGTTCTCTGGTGGTGCAAGATGAGTATGTGTTTGTCCAGGTAAGTGATTGTCCGCTTTCCACAGTGCAAAATATTAGAGCACTTTGTGTGTGTGTGTGTGTGTGTGTGTGTGTGTGGGTGTGTGTGTGTGTGTGTGTGTGTGTACATTGAGGCCATATTTAGACATGTCCACTTCTCTTTATGCCACTAAAATGTTTCCACCTGAAGGTCTCTACTGCAGGGAAGCCAGTCTACTATGTTTCTGCAAAAAGAGACGTCTTCACTCCCATGAAGCTACCAAAGTACACACTGCCCAAGGTAATAAAAACACACCACCTAAACAAGATGCATGCTCCAACACATAAAATCTTACTTAAAGGGATATTTTTGTAAATTAAAATGATGCTATTTTTCTATAGTAACTTATTAGTAAAACCAGACCTGCAGGATCTTTAAAATGATTTGGACTCGGGATATTTTTGCTTTTACACCTCGTGTTGGTGCTTTAGAATGAATAAAGGGACATTGTGCTGCTGAAAGTTATGACCACCAGCCTGGAACCCACAGATGGCCAGTCCGCCCCAGACTATGGAAGCCTAAAGTCACTAATGTTTATCTTTGGTGATTACAAACAAACACAAGAACAAACAAGACAAAAACGTTAAAATAATAAAATAAAAATATAATTTTGGGATCTTGATTGCTCACCTTCTGCCGGTCGACCACTTGGTGGAAACAGTTTTAGTTTAAAATGGTTTTTAAACAAATATTTAACTTAAAGCAGCAATGGCAAATCTGCAAAACAAGCTTGTTTTAAACACAAACACAGTGACAGAACCCTCACCCCTTCTGTTGGCTTTTGCCCCTAGGCCCCTCCCCCCGGTACAGTAAATTGCATTGCATAATCAGTGAAGGACGCAGGTACATGCAGAAGTGTGGTGGTTCAGTGAGGCCGACACCCGGATTGTCCAACGGTTGCATTTGATCTGTTTTTTAAACAAATGAGGAGAAGCTTTATAGGTATATTTATAGCTATACTACGATAGAATGTTGCCAGGGCTAGGGTTAGGGTTTTAAGCTAGCTTGTGTAGGATTTGGTAAATCGAGTGCTTTAAGAGCTTAATATATATATTACCTCTACTTATGACCAATAAGCTGTGATACTCTACATCAGGGACTCCCTAAGTGTGGTGCGAGCACCCCCGGGGGTGCGCGAGCTGCCACTAGGGGGTGCACGAGGTGAAAAGTGTAATGGCTGCGGAGCTCAGAGAAGTCTGTCATATGTCACCATTAGCATAGCCAGAAACTCATTTGTGGGTGGGCCTAAGAAAACGTAAGTGGGCCCAATAAATGGAAATGAAAACAAGTATATGTTGCTTGTGTGTGTGTGTGTGTGTGTGTGTGTGTGTGTGTGTGTGTGTGTGTGTGTGTGTGTGTGTGTGTGTGTGTGTGTGTGTGTGTGTCCTCCGCATGTGCCCTAGCTTCATAACGATGCGCTCCGAGCTTCAGCGCTCTGGCCTGTGCACGCTGTCAACAGCAAGATATGTTCCGTATTTGATCATTTTTAACGGTGTTGGAGGAATCTGAAGGTGGCGAGTCATTCTGGCAGATTGTAATTAACACCTGTCTCATGCAGGTGTTCTGACGTTGTAAACCTCACACACAGAACATTGTGGATGTAACTAAATAACAAGAAATGATTCCCAACTGAGCATTTTAGCATTATTATATTATTATATTAGCACGCTGACTGTGGGACAGCATTCTAAACGTGTCAGGCTATAACAGCGCGCTGAAGATCTGAAGTTCAGAGTGCGTCTGTCAGAGGTCAGACGCGTTCCAGCGGAACCACGGCTCACGGGTGCACAAGTGAGCACATCTGGGCTGGGCAGAAGTAGTTTTACATCATTGGTTTAAATAGCGCCAATAACGAGACGCGGTGACTGGAGCGGCTCATGGAGCTGTGCCGCACGCGCACACACACACACACACACACACACACACACACACACACACACACACACACACACACTGATTCAACAAGCGCACGCTGCGCTGTGCCGTCAGACTGAAGGCAGAAATGAGTGCTGCTGCTTCCGTGATAAAAACTTTTAAGAGGTTTTATAACAACATTTTTCATTCAAGGTCATATTAGCTTCCATTTTGGGAAGACGTATTCAAATCGAGTCCGCTCCAGCCAGTGACTCCTCATGTGTGGCAGCGGATCGCAGATTCAGCCACACCATAAAACAGCAATAAGTCTGTCTGAGGCAAAAGTGAACCTCATGGCTAGAGCGTTTCCATATTTTCCCCCTATAGACATCTGATTACGCACAAGTAGGAGACCAGCTCAGGTTTACGCAGAGCAGAAGGAAGGAGAGAGCTCTGGTTAAACGTTCCTGCTTTAAGAAAACCATTACATTGCATTGTTTATGTGCTACCTGGGCACTCTAAATATTGATTTAAAATTAAATCAAAGGGAATTGTAATGGTATTGAATGTTTATTTATTACTATTTCAAAAATACATACATAAACATAAAAGTGATGGAGAAAAAAGGTCGATCATATTTTTTAACCCTGTCTGTCGAGTGACTGTTTAGCGTATATATATATATATATATATATATATATATATATATATATATATATATAGCCATGCCCTGATGTGGGGCTGGGGTGCGCGGCTAAATAAGTTTGGGAACCGCTGCTCTACATAAATACAGCATATCAACCTGCTTGGTCTCTGTGTTTACGCAGTTTAAGTTTTATTCAGGGACTGTAAAGCCTTCGTTTTGATTCAAGGAAATCCAATCCAATCCAATTTTATTTATAAAGCGCATTCACAAGGCATTACAACCAAACAAGGCGCTGTACACTAAAAATGTTGGTTAATTAAACAGGGGTTATATAAACATGTCGAACACAGATAAAAGATAAAAAGGAAATACAACAAAATTCCCAAAACTAACAGCTAAAAATCATTAAGACACAGGGTGAAGTAAAAATAGGAAAAAACATTTTACAAAGAATCTCAATAATACGGAAGTCGATAATTGTGGAGTCCATTTTTAAACAGTGCAGATGTGAGTGAGGTCCATAATTATGTTGTTGTATAAGCTAGATTGAAGTAGTGAGTTTTCAGGCGTGATTTAAAAATGCTAGCTGTTGGTGCTAGCCTCACTAGCAGTGGTGATGCGTTCCACAGCGCCGGTGCACAGACAGAGAAAGCCCTCTCTCCACGGCTTTTTAAACGAGCATTGGGAACAGCTAGGAGGAGCTTATCTTCAGACCTGAGAGCACGCGGCGGGTTGTAGTAATGGACAAGTTCACACAGATATGGAGGAGCTTGATGGTTCAAGGATTTGTAAGTGAGGAGCATAATTTTGAAGTTTATCCTGAACTGCACGGGCAACCAGTGGAGAGATTTCAGAATTGGAGAAATGTGTTGTCTTCTGTCAGCTCCAGTCAGCAACCTAGCTGCTGAATTCTGGACCAGCTGAAGTCTAGAGAGAGCTGCTTTACTGATGCCATATAAGCAGGAGTTGGAGTAATCCAGCCTTGAGCGGATGAAAGTGTGGACCACCGATTTCAGAAGATGGACACTCAGGATGTGCTTTAGTTTCGAGATGCGTCTTAGTTGGTAAAAACATGATTTAACTGTGTTATTGACCTGGGCATCCATCTTCAGAGCCTGGTCCATTTTTACTCCAAGGTTGGAGATTACAGAGGATACATTAGGTGAGAGATAGTTGAGGTCAGGTTGATGAGTCGCCGTGGTACTGTTAGGACTGAAGACGATTAAGTCAGTTTTGGAGTCATTAAGATGGAGGAAGTTGTCAGCTAGCCATTGCTTGACCTCAAGGATACAATCAGACAGAACTTTCGTTCCTCTGTCTGATACCCGACTCGAAAGAGTCGGGTATGTAAAAATAAGAATTTATTTCCCAAACAATTAAAACATGACAAGTTAACTAATATTTACTGTGATGGATGCATCTAGATGAGTAGATGTGATGTACCAGAACGCGATGTTATCAGAACTTCTGTATCTAGGAGAGCTGAATTCTGGGTGTTAAAGAATTTGGTTTGCGTTAAGCTATGAAGTTGATTCTTATCAAAAAGCATCAGACGCAATCACACTGTGTTCTACCTCACCCTTCGGAGACCCTCTTCATGGATCCGGAGGTCATCAAGGTCACATGACCTCTGAGCACCCAGGTCCGGTAGATTGACCACAGCGCCGACTTCTCCAGTCCAGAGATGTCGCCAGGCACCCAGGTTGGATGGAACCGTTTGCATCTAGACTCTTAAGGAGTCGGAACAAAATCAGCTTGTTCTGCAGGAACCGTCTGCTGTGTCAGCTTTGCAACAACGTTGACGGCGTGTCAAGGCTGCTTCTTAGTTAAAGAGACTTCACCATGGACGGCCGTTTCCGTAGCTTCCTCTAGAACTCTGTAGGCTGAGTGATGAGAGCTGGAAGGCGACTCCAACTCGATCTGGAACTGCTGAATCACCAGAGTGATTCTGTTTTAATGTTCTCATGTTATGATTGGTGTGGCCAACCAGAGGTTGACATGTTGAGGAAAATTACCAAGACAACCTCAGAAAACACGCCTTCTTTGATACCGGATGCTCTGATCTGGGGTAAAGTAGTGTCTATGTCACGCGTTTGACTTAACTTTACCTTGTCCTTGTGTGCGTGTAAATGGTGATGGCCTTGTCAGATCAACAATACTGATCCATCTATAAATCAGTGTAATCACAACATGACATTCATTTCAAACTTCAGTCATTCAAACACAGATTAATGAAAGCATTTCATTTATATTATGATTATCATAAGTGACAATAAACAAACAGTTATTTAATGATTATTTAACTTATAAGTTAAACAATTTCGTATTTAATTTAAGAATTCATTCTTTGATTAAGCAACTGATCCGAGCTGCGAGTGTTCACTTATTCAGAGGCAGGGTAGGGTCCTGTAGGACGATAAGGGAAGCTTGAGGCCTTGAGGAGGGAACATCATTGTTGATAATTTGTTATCGTGTGTTCAGAGCTGCAGAGAGGCTCCGAGCTCAGCTGATGGGATGAAGGCAGGCCAGATTAAAGGGAACACTTGCCGTCTCGTGTCCCATTTTCACTGTACTTAAAAACTGACCATTACTGGACATTACTATTCCATTAATTACATTACTATTACTGGACATGGACTGCATGGTGGCGCAGTGGTTAGCACTGTTGCCTCGCAGCACAAAGGTTGCAGGTTCGAAACTCGGCTGCAGCCTTTCTGCGTGGAGTTGCGTGTTCTCCCCA